CACCCATCCCTCACCCCAACCCAGGGAGCATCTCCTCTGAGCACCACTGCCCTGCCCGCCCGAAGACCTTCTTGGGGGGCAGACCAGGGTCTCGCATAGGGTCCCTGCAGCAGCCCAAACCTGAACCTCTGCATTGAGGTTTTCTAGGATGGTCCAGGGGCTGTCTAACCCGACATGTGTGTGTTTGGCAGAACCCAGCTCTGGATGTGTCCACGGCACGAGCCTTGATGGCTGTTGCCACCGCTGGCTGCGGGGTAGCCATCGCTTTCTCCATCCTCACCATCACCTTCTGCATCTTTTTAAGGTAGGATGAGCCAGCAGCTCCCCGGGGACTCATCAGGCTGGGAGAGGTGTGGGGCAATGACGGTGCAGTACGGCACGGGGCCCCGCTCAGCTGTGACCCATGCCTTTTCTGCTCCCTCCGGGGATGCCCAGGTGCAGGTTCAGGTCCGAGGAGACCCTCCGCATTAACCTGGGGCTGCACGCGAACCTCGTGGGCAGCCTGCTCCTCCTCAACCTGGCCTTCCTGCTCAACAGCGGGCTCTCCGGTGGGACCCAGCTGGGGACCTGCAAGGTCCTGGGGGGGCTCACCCACTACTGCCTGCTCTGCTGCTTCACCTGGATGGCGCTGGAGGGCTGTCACCTCTACCTCCTCTTCGTCAAGGTCCTCGGCACCTACATCCACCACTACCTGGCAAAGCTGTGCCTGGTCGGCTGGGGTGAGCACCGCCAGCCTGGGCGAGCGCTGGCGGGAGAGGGGGGCAGTGGGTCACAACCAGAGGGGGAACAGGGTGGTGCAGTGATGGGCAGAGAGTGAGCAAGACCCCGTCCTTCCCGCAGCTCTTCCAAATGCCGTGGTCAGGGCCAGGAAGTGTCTTACACGGTCTCAGTGCACCTCAGGGTAGCACCCACAGGCACCCTCCATCCCGCTGGGGATCAGCCTCCTGCTCTTCGAGCAGGTGATGTCCTCCGGGGTCTTCGTTCCCCCGTTGTCAGCCCTCCACGGCACCCCGTTGCCGCCACCTCCACCTTGGGGGGCACCAGAGCAGATGATCCCGCAGAGAAGTTGGGGGACACCTCGAGCCCGGTCGCTCAGCACTGTCCTTCCCTCTCCACAACACGCCCCAGCGGCAACCATTGTGCCCCCGGCACTTGTGCAACCTCAGCAGGTCCCTAAGCCCCATCTTCCCGGAGGTCAGCACATCCAGGGACGTGCAGAGACCCCGGGCCGACCACCTCACCCGCTGCTTGCCCTCCCGGCCTCCTCCACACATCTCCCTTGTTCTTCCAGGCTTCCCCGCTCTTGTGGTGGGGGTGGCAGGAGTCATCAGCAGCTACGGAGAATACAGCATCCAGACCACGGACCACCAGCTCATAGCCAACCTGTGCGTGCCCCACCACCCACAGGGCTTAGGTGGCCCTTTGGCACAGGGAGCGGTAACCCGGTCCCACCGGGGGCGTGGTGGCGGGGGGTTGTGCCCATCCTGCTTGACTTTACGCCACGCTTCCGCTTCCCCAATTATGATTACAACACAGCAGCTTTCTACAGCTGTGGTAACCACCACCTCTCGTGCCGAGCCTCCTTGGTGATGCCCGCAGGCCTCTGGGTCATGGAGGGACATCCAAAGTCCACCTGGAGCTTCCTCAGGCTCCTTCCCAGCTGAGGCACCCAAGGGCAGCAGATCCGCACCACTGCCTCCCCTGCTTCCCCCTGGCCTTGGAAAACCCTACCAGCATGAGGGTGTCCCAACACCCCCAAACGCATCCCCCTGGGGAGGCTCCCATGGGTGCTGCTGGGACTAGCAGAGCCACTGGAGGCGCCGCCATTGGCTCTTTTCAGGTGCTGGATCACTTCCGAACATCTCCTGGTCCACTACATCACCAACTGTGGCTACTTCAGCCTCATCTTCCTCTTCAACATGGCTGTCTTTGGGGTCGTGACCCAGAAGAGCTGCCGCCGGCAGGGCACAGGGTCGGTGCAGGAGGACCGCAAGGCCTGGAAGGTGGCCCTGGTGGCAATGGGGCTCTTCTGCCTGCTAGGAGCAACCTGGGCCCTGGCATTCCTCACCCATGGCACCTCCTCTGTGCCCATACTCTACCTCTTCACCGTTCTCAACTCCCTACAAGGTCAGGGCTGGCTCCGAGACGGGCTCCTGGGCTTGGGTGGGGAAGATGGAGGAGGCGGGAGCCAGCTTGGCAGTGGGTTCACCAGGAGTCCCAAGGCACCAGCACCTTCCCAGCACTGTCATGCCCTTCCCCGTGGCAGGGCATGTCCAGCAGCAGGTCCCAGCCACCAGTATGGAGCTGTTAATGGCTCCCAACCATGTCAACTCCACCGGGAGTGGTTTTCCTCCAGAGAAGCCATTCCTTAGCAGAGGAACAGGGACATGATCCATGCAGAGCACGGTCCAGCCAAATGGCTTACCTGAAGCATGGAGAGACCCTCCTGCAGGAGTGGGAGCGAGCTGGGGGAAGCCCCTGGAAGTGGCAGGGAAGTGCCAGCGGCATCCCGGCAGGATGCTTCCTGCCATCTCCTGCTGCTGCTGAGTGTCTGCCTTCCTTTCGCTGCAGGAATCTTCATATTCATCTGGCTGTTCGTCCTCTACTACCCAAAGACGAAGGAGACTGCTGGCTCCCTCTCCCACATCATCAAACACGACAAAACCACCACAGTCTCCCAGGACTAGCCGCTGGCTAGACCTCCCTCCATGCCTGCCACACACTCCGAGAGCAAGCTTTGATCCCCTAGGATGCTGCTTCCCCATGGAGGACGAGGGCTCAATTTACCATGCCTCAGTTTACCCTTCAGCAGGCATGATCCACCTTAGCAGGGCTTTTTGCTTCTGCCCTTTCGTTCCTAGTGGGTTGCCTTGGGCAAGGAGCTCCGGAGATGTCTCTTCTGCCAAAGTCCCTCCAGGCTGCAGCTCCCCCATGGTCTTGGAAGCGCCTCTGGTCTCATTCCCCAGAGGCTCTTGCGGGGGTGAGGAGGGAGCCCGTGAACATGCCTTCAGCCAGGATGCGGCTATCTCCCTCTTCGCTAGAGACGGCCTTTGGTGCTGGACCAGCCCAGCAGTGGGTTTTCCTGGTGTTGGAGGCGGGAGGATTGACTTGCTCCAGCCCAGACTCAGGAGGTTCAGGTCTGGGAATTAGCAAAAAAAAAAAAAAAAAAAAAGAGAAATCCCACGAGCTTCTTTTCTTTGCAATATATCCTCTCCAGACGGACCGGGGCCGAGCTCTTTGGGCAGGGATCTGCAGAACCTCTGGGGCCAGCAACGCTTTCCACACAGACACCGTGCTTCAGCTGAGTGTACACACACAGCCGCCTCGCAGGGGAAACACTCGTCTTCTCCTTAGCTGTTCTAGTATTAAATCTCTGCCAGCTGTCTGGGCACTACAGGTTTAGTCTTTGATGCTTGCACTATTGTTTGTTATTTGCTTTATATTAGGGATGTCTCGATGGGCAAAAATCTTGCTGGTGATTTATCGCGAATTAAAGTAGAAATCTGTCACGAGTGAAGGAAGAAATCTGGATGGGTGGGTGTATATGCACACGCGAGTGCACGCACAGAGCAGCCCTTCCTCTGCACGGTCCTGCGTGACACAGATGTAGCATTAACAAAGTCCAGCTTTGGTGGGCAAGTATCTAGAGTGGGTACCCCCACCCCCCCACGAGCCTGGGTGACTCTCTGTGGAGGAGGAAAGCACGAGGAAGGAACCTCCCATCCCTGGGTACATGTTTCAAGGCCAGAGAGCGTGGGCCAGGAGGGATGCTACAGGGAACAGAAACACTCCGATGTGACTCATCCTTCAAGCACCACTTGCATCCAGCCATCACCTCCTTCCCAAAAAAAAGGTCTAACGACACAGGTGAGAGCCTCTCTGCTACTGCCACATTTATTTGGAAACAGCCATTTTCTACACTGTTCGCTGCCTCGCGCTGACGGCCGCAGCAGCCACAGTGAGCACGCCAAGCGCGCACAGCAGGATGAGGGCCCCGGGGAGCCACGGGTTGGGTCCTGCCAAAGAAGAGAAAGGTTGGTTACACATCTGGGCTCCCCCAAGCCAGCGCTGAGCCCTGGTACGGCATCTCCTGGCCGGGGGCAGACTCAGGGGAGGTCATCTCCTGTCAATGGTAAGAGCCACTGGAGCTGGGGATGCTTCGGGGCCCTGGGGGCACTAACAGGACTTGATCACCACAGCTGGCCTCACCTGGGGTCTCTACCCACACCCACTGCCCGGGAACTCCATTACCACAGCATTCATGCCTGGTCTGAGCTGTGCTGTAGGTGGGTTTGTCCCCAGCCCTGGTCCTGGACCTCCATGGATCCCCTGGATTGACCTTGGTGCTCAGGAGGAGCTTGACTTGCTGGGCTGATGCAGAGGTCCAGCGTGAAAACCCAGCCCTCCTCGCCTGGGGTGCTGCACCGACAGCCTTCTGGTTCCTGGTCCCTTCCCACTTGGCTCCCCTGCTCAGTCCAACCTGTGCCTGGTATGGAGCCCAGGGCTCACGCAGAGCTAACCTCTCTGCGCTGGTTTGGCTTCTGGAGCACTCCGTGCATGGCCACGACACCTAAAGGCTCCATGCTTCTGTGCAAGGCAGTGATTTTAGCAGCCCTTTTTAATAACCTGGCACTGCCTGGACAGTTGCAAGGGTCCATGAGCAGCTCCTGCCCTCCCTGGAGGGACATACGTACCCCCCAGGTCCTGTTGGTCAGTACTGGAATGGTGGGTCTCTGCTCCCACGGAAGGAGCAGCCAGCAGATGGATGGGCCCGTAGGAGACAATCTTATTGTAGTCATCCACCAGCGCCCGCTTGCTCCTCCAGTGCCCGGGGCATTGCTGTCAACAAAGCCAAGGGAAGGGTGATGGGTCCAGAGGGCAGGGGAGAAGCCTGCTGAGGCACAGTTGGGGCTGCAGCCTGGGAGCAGTCAAGACCCCAGAGCTGGTTCCTGAAGGACCTTAGCCTGCTCCTCCCCAAGTCCTCACATAAACCTCTCCTCCTGCAAATACCCAACAGACAGGGGGAAGAGGGAAAGGAGCTCTCTGGTGGGTTCAAGCCCTCGTACCTTTGGTTCAAGACCCTGGGGTGGGCTCCTGCTGCTGGGAGGTGTTTATTGTGTGGAAGCACCAGAAACAAGAGCAGAGACCCTTCTCCAAACAGCAGGCCAAGGGACGGGAGGTCCCGCTGCCCGGCCAGGGCACGGTGCAGACCACCAGGAGAGCTCACCTTGGCACAGGGCTCCGGGCTGTCAGGGAGACAGAGGCGGACACGGCAGTGCAGGAACACCTCAGGGTAACCAAGAAACTGAAACATCTGGAAGCTGAACTTGGCAGTAGTGCTCTTGCCAATGGCGTTCAGGTACGTCACTGTCTCGTCGTGGGGACATCTGGGACACCATGGCTGAGTCAGCAGTTGGCAAACAAAGGGGAGCATCCCAGCCTGGGACACCAGAGCACACGGGGACCGGGTGCAGCCCCCAAGCTTTGCTGAGCAGGACTACTTCTGTCTCAGGTGGGGCTGCCTTTCCTTGGCACCCTGCGCTGTGCCCCGCTCAGGGAGGAGCTGCCACCAGCAGAGGAGCTGGCTCATGCCTTGCTCTGTGGGGCCACGGCTGCTCTGCAGGGGTGGAGTGAGCCTGGCTGTGGCTCCCACTTCCTGGGTATCCAGGTTGGATACCGGCTTTAGCTTGGCTGCAGCCACCTCTCATGCAAGCTCTTCAGCAGATACCTCTATGCCCATCCCAGCATGTTCTCCCCTCTCCCCTCCTTGCCCTTTCCCTCCCCAGCTGGCCAGGAGCAATGCTAGAGGGAAGGCAGCTCTATTGGCAGCAGAGCAGGGTTGGGAGAGGGGGTTCAGTTCAGAGCAGTCAGGGGGCTCATCTATGGGGCTGGCCCACCTATTCAATGATGGTGTCCACCATAGGTTCCGCCTGCGATTGAGTCATGGCTCTTTGCTCCCTCACAGCAACCTGTCCTTAGCACCCGGCAAAGAGATGCGATTGGGCTCACGGTGCAAGGAGATCAGATGCGCTTGGGGCATTTCACTCACCCATTCTCGATGAGCTTGTGCCGCACGTCCTGGTAGGGATCCGCGCTTGGTGTGGCCCAGCAGTCCTCAACACTCAGCAGAAAGCTGGTGCTGTCCTTCTATCTTCAGGAGGACATAGAGCGTGTCCGTGACGGGGATGGATGCGGTTGGCAGGTGATAGGGATGGAGGTAGGAGGGGGTCTTGTACAGTCTCATGCTGACGTTGAAGTGTCCTTCTCTGACCACGAACTGCACCAGCCTGAGAGGAGATGAGAGCTCACAAGAAGAACAAGAAGGCAGGAAGGTCGTAGCACAAGTCAGGCCACCAGTACCGGTTCACCAACCCTGGATGTGCCTCCTGGGTGGAGCCTCGTGAGAGCCGGGCCCTGAGCTGCCTCCCGGCTGGTACGTCCCCGCCGCGTGCGGACAGAGGCAAGGAGCTCCAGGGGTTCCCACTGACCAGCTGGCCAGTGAGGGCTACGAGAAAGGCAACCCAGGGGGTCCTAACCTGTACCTCCACAGGGGCCTGGTGGGGCCATCTTCCAGTCCCTACCCTTTGTTTTGTGGCTAGCTGGTTTCAAACAGTGAGGATAGGAGGAGAAGGGTAGATGGTGCGTGCCCCTCTTTGGCTCTGTCCCAGGCCCAAACCTTGTGTTGCAAAATTATGCTGGGAGGAGAAAGGGAGGAACCCTGGTGTGGCATTGCTCTCGGAGCTCTATAGTGGCCCCCCAGGGTCTTCGTAGATCACCTCAACAAAGGCATCTATTTTTCTGATACCATGTCAGCAGCAAGGTGAAGAAGGACAACTCACTTGTCAACAGCAGTGAGAGCGAAGGGCAGTTTGACCACCTGCTTGTAGGCGTAGATGCAGGAGAAATGCACCTCCAGCTGAAAACTCCGTGAGATCACGCCCCTGCGTGCTTCCCGCTCTGACTCAATGACGTTGGAGTATGACACATGGGAGCTGTTTTGCTAGAACGACACAGAAACCAAGTCTCCGGACCATGTCTAAGTCCATACACAGAGCTCCAAGCTCCAGTTCAGATGGTGCATCTCAGCTGTAGCTGCTCCAGGCCTCCTGGATGCCTGCTGGGGTTTTTGCTCAAGCCCCGTGTCCCGGGGCTACTGGCAACCATCACTGGAGTAGGCAGGAGTCAGCACAGTGACCACAGGTGAGGGTCCTTCTGTGCAATGCAGAGCTGGAGCACCAGTTCCTCTGCACCCTCCCTGACTCATGAATCAAGTGAGGGACCAAGGGGCTATAGCCAGGGCTGCCGAGCTCAGAAGACGCTGCCAGAAGGGCAAGGGCTGTTATCAGCTAGTAAAGAGCACAGCGAGACTTCCATGCTCTGCTGAATAAGACAAGATGTGCTGCCAGCAGGGGTTTAGTGGTGGCAGAAGAGCTTTCTGACAGACCACAGGGAAGCCTTCCAAGGAGAATGAGAACTTTACAGCACCCAGATATAAAAGGAAAAGCCTCCAGGGCTTCCCCTTGGTGTCCCCACCCAGCATGCCTTCTCCTCTCACCGCTTCAGAGCTATGCAGAGAGGCTTTGCTGGATCCTCACCTGAATTATGGATCCACAGGCAGTGTGGTTTTGACCTGTGAGAATGGCTGCAAAAAACAGCTCACCCTCTTCTTCCGTTTCTGAGACCTTGCATGCCTGGTTCTTCAAGTGGACAAGCTCCAGCGGGATTTTCAAGAGTTCAAACACCTCCTTCCTCACCATCATCTTCATGTGCTCTTCTTCGCAGGCCAACTTCAGTACCACATCTGGGGGAAAAAGCCATCTGCAATAGCAATAAGGAAGAGGCCTGAAGGAGCCCTAGGTCAGCTATGGGATGGCACAGTCCCACCGAGCTCAACAGACCCTCATCCCAGCCTTGTTGGAGGCTGCTGGTAGGGCTCTTCAGGGGCACTGGGCAAAAGACAAACCTTTGGGAATGAGCAGAAGTCAATGTGGGTCTGTCATTTTGTACTGGTTGCCTAAGACCTGCACAAGTCCATGGTTGCTGCTACTCTGAACAGACACAGTCCTTAAGCCTAAGACATCAAAGGCAGATGTCGTGGTTCTGGCCCCCTTCAACGGCTGTCTACAGAATCACTGCAGTCTGCCAAGGGCACCAGACAGGGACAGTGATCCTCGCTTTCAGATGAAGAAGACACAGTTTTTGACCAGTGTCTGGAAAGAGCCTTCACTGTAGCTGTGCTGGAGTGCGTGTGGTTGTGTCGAGTCTGCGAGGCAGCTGTGCTCCGCAGCATGCCCTGCTGCCCTGGCACGGCCACACCACAGCATGGCTTCCTGACAGCCAAGCTTTCCTTCTTACAGGAATTAAGATTTTTGGGGAGGAAGGGAACAGCCTGTGACTTGTACTAACATGTAGTCAGGACAGGGTGGTGGTGCTGGGGAATGCGCCTGAACCAGGAGCTGGGATGTGCTCCTGGAGCCTGCAGTGGAGCGCAGTGGTAACACCAGTGCACCGTGCCCGTCACCCTTCCCTCTGGTGCCCGTGGACAGACTAGGGAGGGCTCATCGGCATCCCCAGCCCTACCTTGGCAGAACGCCCCTGTGAAGCCCGGTTTGCAGCTGCAAACTGGTCTGTCCTCCACCACCTGGCAGCCCCCCTGATGCTGGCATGGGTTTGGCAGGCAGGCATCCGGGCTCCTCTTGAGACGGAGGGCAACCCCTCGCCTCGCACCGTGTGGGCTTGCCAGCTCACCTGAAGCAAAGGAAAGGGGAGGAAGCTGAAACGCAACAAGAATATCTCCCCTACGAGAGACGTGAGCGAACTCGCACCATGGTGTGAAGCCCTGCCCAGCTCACAAGGGCTGAGATCCTTGCTTAGAGCCAGAGCAGGCACATCTGAGGAAGAACCTGCTACCTCGGCTTGCCTGGGAGGATGTGACTGAGAGCCTGGGAGATCTCCCTCGGCATGGCCGTGATCTGGACCAGAGCAATGGAGCCTCCCACAGGCTAGGAAGGAGCGTGATGGCACGTCACAGCCCCTGTGCCCATCTCCACGGGTTTTATACCGTACATGGCTGGGATGGAGAGCTTGAGGTTTCTGCCTATTTTGCCAGTTCTTGAACCTCAGTTCCTGTCCCCCCCGGGCCCTGCTCTCTTGTTCCCCCTTAGCCTTCAGTGGTGCCCTGAATGAGGAACCTGGGCATGGATCAGGTGAGGGTTTGCCCTCTCCTTTCCATACTACTTGGCTATGACCCAGCGGGGGGGTCAGTGTACAGGGAGACTCACTCTTGTTGCCTTCACAGCCAGCCAGGCAGAGGGCAGAGATCAGCAGCAAATGTCTTACAGTCCTTTCCTGTAAAAACAAAGCAGGCTCTAAGTAACTCAGGTTTTTAGCATGCTCGCTGGAGATGTTTGCAGTCATTCAGAAAGAGCCATCCCTCAAGCATGGGTGCAATAATTTCTGTACTGAATTTCCTCCAAAAAGTCTAGGTCCAATGGCAAAGTAATTTCCTATCCCAAGGGGCCAGATCAGCAATGCCCCAGGCTAACACAGGGATCAAATACTGTCCTGAATTTCGGTAGCTATTCCAGAAAGAGAGGGTGGGAGAAACCAGACCTCAGACCTGCAGGGATGTGCTGACAGTGATAAAGCCACATTTCAGTAAGAACTGGCACTCTGAGTAAAACTGCACAGCTGAGGCATCAGTCCAGGCTCCCCAAAGAGGAAAGGAGCTTCCTTCTTCTCACTAAAGCTCTTTTGAAGAGTTAGGATTTGCAAAAGGATCCTTGCTTTTCCAGTAATCCATATCCATAACAAGGAGACAACGGGATAAAAAAAATCCCAAAGCCTTGAGCACAACTAAAATGAATGCCACAAAGGCACAGATTAAGTCCATTTCCCCCGTCGGTGCATTTTCTTTAGGGAAATTAATGGCACAATGCCAGATGAGCCCTGGACGCTGGAGTCTCCTTACCAGAGACGTGGATATGAATCAGTCGGGGCCGGTGGCTGGAGTGATGCTCTGCCAACCCTCTGCCCTGCAGGTGCACTGAGAACGGGGCAAAGCCAATGCCAAAAGCCTCACCCTGCTCTGGCAGCACATCGTGTACCCCCTCCGCCCGACCCCAAGCATCTGCGACCATCAGACCTCCGGACAAGGAGGGTTTATTTCCCGCTCTGCTTCGTGCTCGCTGCAGCAGTCCTGAGAAATCCCACCAGCGTCAAGATCTCACCTTGTTGTCATCCCACTTACCATCGCCAGGCCACTCTACGCTCCTCCACCCACCGCTGCCCCGGGTCGCTCTTGCGCTCCCCGCTGCGTGCCTTATATCGCCTTCCAGCAGCTCATCCTTCTCCCCCACGCAAACGTGCTGCCTCCGCGATTGCACAAGAGCCAGCTTAGCATCCTTCGGTGGCGGCTGGGGAGGAGAGGACTCTGCGAAAGTCCATCCTTCGGCACAGACGACCCTTCCGATTAGCCGACGGCTCGTGAACGCTGACCCAATTCACGGCCCCGATGGGATCTCAAACAGGGGGAGTTTCTGCAAAATCCCCAGGAATCTGGGGATTTGCGCATCCAACTGGTTTTGTGGTACCTGCTTTTGACGCAGCAATAACAAAAGATACCACAGCAGCACACGCGAAGGCCAGATAACTGCGTGTACTGAATACAGGCGGTTTCGCAACCACAACATACACTTGCTTTGGCTGTTTTTTTAATGACTTCTGACATCTTAAGATCCGGTGAGAAGCACTGGTGAGAAATGGAGGGATGAGGGCTTGGTCCTACCATGCTTTGGGCAAGAGTAACCAGCTGCAAACAAGCAGTAATCACTGAAAGTGATGCTTCTTCATATCTATTGACTGTATTGTGCATCCTCAGAGCTTTAATTGCTAACAGTCAGCGTAACATAGCAGCAAAAGTGAACATCCATCCATCCAGGTTTTTTCCAAACCACAATGAAAACCGGAAAACAAAAGTGTTTAGCACCTGACCCTGCTTACAGCCTAACGAACTACCATTTAGAAAAAAAAGAAAAAAAAGGCCTCCTACCGTCCCCTGCTGCCAGCTTTTGGGTGAGAAGCTCTGCTTTCCATTATGTATTTTACAAAGCAATTAACCGGGACAGAAGCTTGCACAGACTCGCTTAGAGAGGCAACCGCAGTGCAGCCCTCGGGCTCAGAAAGCAACACAGGAAAAGGAAGGCGGGTGGGGGCCTTTTCTGGTGCGTTTTTCTTTTTTAAAGAGAGTGAAACTTGTGAGTTTAAGAGCAGCCTTGTGGTCTCCGAGGGGCTGGTGGCAAAGCTGTCCTGGCGGGCAGGCTTTGGCTGCTTCCCCCCCCGCCCCGTTTTGCCCCAAAAAATCTTCTGGAGGGAGGGGGCTGCCAGCGGAAAGGCACCCTCTCCCCGGGCGGCTGTGAGGAGCTTCCAGGCGGGGAGAACTGGGGCGGCCGAGGGCGAGTGGGGGGGCGCGGCGGCCTGCGGCCTGCTCGGCTGGCAG